ACTTCTCCATTGACTTTGCTTATGGGAAGCTAGTAGGGAAGTTTGCAAATATTGATCATGTGACTGTGGGATGCTGCAATGGTCTGAAATGTGGGCTGGTTGCCAAGTGCCTGAATCGTGATCTTATGACTGTGGGGGAGGACTGCTTTGTAAGTCCCTTCGTTCAGTGCCATTGTAACTCTGAATAGTCGCTGAATGAGTGGTTGGTAAGTGAGGACTATCTATATGGGGAGAACATCAGAGAAGGCTTTTTGCTGAGGCCTCTTCAGCTTTGGAACTACTTCTGACTGCAATGTCCTGTCACTGCAGTGGAAGGAATTAAATTGTGTTCATTTGTACAAAAGGAAGATTAACCAAACTGTTTCTGCAGGGGATATCCTTCTAACATATATTAGGAGGATTGTACAGTACTAATATTTATTTATTATTGTACAATATTTATTATTTAATTTATATGCCGCCTGACTCCCAATGACTCTTGGAATAAATTAGGTGGAAAAATTCCTTTGAAAGCTGACATTTCCTAAGCCGAGACATTGCAATAAGTCATTATCACATTGGATAGATGACTGCTATGGTGACTGCAAAAATGCAACATCTTCTTTTCTAATATTTTTAATACCTGATGACAGAATTGTTAAGGGGTCAAGGCAGTTTTCTGGCTTTTCTCTTTAGCCTGATTTAATCCTTTTATCTGTTCTTTTTTTCCTCAGATATTCACATGCTATTTTGAAATCTGGTTTATCCCTTGGGAGCAGAAAGTCCATGTCTCCATCGTCATCTGCCACTTACCTCTCTCTAATAAAGTCTATTGATGTTGCATGTTAATTTTTTATCAACTGGTACACCACAACTTGTCCATAAAGACACTGGACTGCAAACAGTTGTGGGTTCTTTTGCTTTTCTTTGCATATATTTTAATGGAGAGTGACAATTGTATATATGATCATCCTTTTCCCACCTGTCTTGCTGTGGAGAAAGTATCAGTAAGTCCTTGTTGTGCACAATGTGTCCTGGCTTTCATGCCTCAGAAACAGATCCGATAAGGGATCCAAGGAGGGAGGTCCAAGGAGGGCAAGTGACAAAAACAGTTTCATGCCATCAGCTCCACCCCTTTTGTAGAGGCACCATGATGATGCATGCAGGTACCAAAGGGGAGCACATGTAACACAAAAGAACGAGGCTGCTTTGGTCATCTTGATGAAAGCGTCAGATCTTACAGATGCCTCTGAGACAAGATGGAATCAGTAGATCAGTTGTGGTAGAACAAATACAGACATTATATAGCAGGGTTCCTCAACCTCAGCAATTTTAAGATGGGTGGACTTCAACTCCTAGAATTCCACCCATCTTAAAGTTGCTAAGGTTGAGGAACCCTGTTAAAGGTTGAGGAACCCTGTTATATAGGGCTAATGCACACATAACAAAGAAGATAAGGATGTAGATAGGACATTGGATCAAGCACAACACTGCAGGATTACTGATACACACTGAAGCGGTGGGAGGACCTGCAAAGGGAAACAAGAATGAATGACACTGTGGTGTGTGGTGATAAGGAGCTATAAAACAAGAGCTGCTGTCAGCATGCCAACAGCCTCTTCCTTTGCAAGAATCACCAGGAGACTGGATTCAAGTCATTCAGAGAGCTTATCTCAAGCACAAATAGTGCGTCAATCTTCTCTCAAATTGTGTCTTCCTGATGTGTCCCAACTATAACTTCCCACAATTCCCAGCCAGCATGAAGCTGAGGTTGCTGCAAATTGTAATGCTGTGTGTTTAGAGCAGGGTTCCTCAACCTTGGCCACTTGAAGATGTGTGGACTTCAACTCCCAGAATTCGCCAGCCACTGGAGTTG